GACTAACTGAGTGTTATGAAGCTACTGGATTCCTCTTAAAGTCTAGTGAGGAACCTGTTTTGGAGATGATTAGGAAGATGGTGTCAACATAGAAGTTAAATAAACGCAGCTCCAACCGGTGATGTTCCACCACCAGATGTTTCCTCGTAGAAGCAGCACAGTCGCACCACAAACTGAAGTTGAATCATATCATCTGAAATTGAAACTGTATTCAAATAAGCTTGAATTCAAATGTAATAGTTTGGAAATGAATTAAACTGTATTTGATTCTCACTGAAGGTTCAACTCTCTAAATCTGGTTCTTCAAATTCAAATGTCTCTCAGTTCAATTTGAGATTCCGTCACACACACACATCTGGAAGTATTTTGAATTAATTTCCAGACTATTCCGTTTGGTTTCAAGTTTATTGGAAAATAGTTTCAGTGTCATAAATACAAATTCAGAATTAATTTCAGTTATTCAAGTTGAGCAACACAGATTCAGGTTATGTGATTCAGTTTCTGGGGACACTGAGTTCCTGAGGGCAAATTGAAACCAGTTTGGCTCAAACAACTAAACAAACAACAAATCTAAAGAGCCCAAACATCTGGTTCACACCAACAAGGCCCAAAGGTGAACAGTTTTCCCTCCACTTTTATATTTTCTAATTCATAAAGTTGTTTTGTATTAATTTATATTAGTTTATGTCAGAAAGCATCTCCATATTGATTCAGAGTCATTTTATAGTTTGTTTTGCGTGAACAAACTTAGATTTCCTGATCCTGGATTTATTTATTTTAATAGAACAGAAAAAAATGTAAGACTTTATTGATCCAAAAAGGGAAATTGTGTTGTTACAGAAGGAATAAGAAAGAGTAAAGTGACCCCCACCTCAACAGAAAAATATAAAACAAATATAATAGAAGCATACACTTGGATACAAAATGTACGATAAAATATATGATGAATAAAAAATATACAAAATTGAAAAATGCACAATATACAGAAAAAGTATACATTACTAGAGGAAAGCCTGATTTAAACCTGGTTTTGCTAAACTCTGATCAAATCTCAGATTACATTAGTCTTAGTTGATTTGAATGCTGAACCTTAGAAAATTAAAGGACAAATGTTTAAAGTCTACTTAACGTCTGCTGGACAGGTTTATAAGCAGCTCTTTGCCAACATGTTCTCTGTCCAACGGTGATATAAGGTGATTGTTGGCAGCTTCTACGGAGGCCCCAAGAGGCCAAAAAAAAAAAAAAAAAATCAATGCGTGCACGGTTCAAGGATGGTACACAGCAACAGGGTATGGCATGTGTCAAAACACTGTCAACGCTCAAGAAAAGCAGAAAATGTGATTGTGTTTGCTTTCTATAACTCATCCACCACGACAACATCGCTGTAGCTTCTCTCATGTCAAATGATGCTACATGTCTGTGAAGTCGCTCTAATTCAAACCTCATGTGTAGAGACAATCATATTCTTTCATTAACTAAACACCCAGGTTTATTATCACATGATAGAAATGTACCGCGTCTTGTTGTCATGCCGCCGTAGCCCAGAGCAAAAGTCTGTACGGCGTGTTTTGGTAGAAAGTAGCCTCGGGTCTTTTGTTGGGAAGAAGCCGCCGTCGTCGTCGTCGTCGTCCTCCCACTCTGGTTTCCTGTTGACTCACTGTCTAATTAATATGCTGATGTCGGGTAACGTGCTCGTGTGTGGAAACTCGGCTCATGTCTAGAAAACGTACGGGCGGATGTTTGGTCGGTGAACTCGAGCAGTTTCTGACTGAGCCCGACTCCCCCTTTTGTTGTTTTAACAGTCGGCGATCTGAACATGACGTCAGCGTCCTCATGGCGGTTGCTAAATCGCTCCTCTGTTCGTGTTAGTGCTATTAGTAATGGTGTGCAGCAGAGGTTACGGCGCTGTAATATGTTAGACATGAGTTTTTCTTTCTGCTGTGTGTCTCTTTCTTCTTTAATGAGCCTGTTTGTTGGACTGATCTAAACCCAGATCTGACCCAGCAAGCTGCTTTATTTTGTTCCCAATTACTTTTTTTGTTTTTTTTTTGGAGGCAATAATTCAACAATGGACATTTATTCTTGTCTTTTTTTTTTTTTTTTTAGGTTTTAGCAAACAAAGTAATGTGTTTCCAGAAGCGGCAATAATGATTTGCTTGGAATAAATAGAACTGTGCATACTTTGGCTGAACTGGAAATAAACAAAGACTTTCACAACAACAGAAACTTCCTTTTTTTTTATCAAATCGTCTGAACTGATCGGCCCTGCGTCCGCCGTCGTGTCGCCTCGGTCATCAGTTCAGACGACTCCTGCTCACAAAGGAAGACTTTATTGACGGGGGCGCGTGTTAACACAGATTAGTGTGTGCAGTCACTGAACTGGTTAATCGGAGTAGCTGCAAATGTCTGAGCTCAAACAGCCTCTTTCTTTCTCCTCGAAAAAAAAAAACCTCCCGGCAGTCCCATGAATTGTGGAGCTGAAATGGCCCTGTGGTTAACGCGACACAGGCCAGACCACAGGCATTTCATGGCTTTTTTAGAATCCGAAAACTGAAATATCTCAGCTTTCTAAACGTCCCTCCATTACTTTTCTTGGGTCACATTCACAGGCCGCTGTTTATCAATCACTCCAGGATGAAATGAGGCGGCTAAATGTGATATTCACGTCCGAGACAAGCCGCCGCACAAATGTTTGGATTTTCGCTGCGTTAATATAAATTTGCAGTAATTGCACGCTTTCCAACGAACGTTCTGCAGACGTACGAATGCTCTGACCTCGAGTGAACCGCCGAGGGTGGAGCAACTGGCAGGACTGTGGAGTCTTGGATGTCTCCCCACGCTGTAGTGGTGAGCACGGGGCTGTAATAAAAGAACTTGGAATTTCAAGTCTATTTGAGAGGTTTGTTTCAGCAAACAGAAGTGCAAGAAATGGTTGTGTTGATGCTCCGCTTCTGGGTTATGAGGTAGGCCAGTTAGCTTAGCATGCTAATTATTTTATTGTTAATTATGAAGGCAAGGAGGGGCAACAGTGCCAACATAAACGGAACAAGTTCACCTTTGGGATGCTGTGGATTGAGGCTACAATCATTTGACTTTGTGTTTGTATTAAGAAGAGCTGGACTCAAATAAATAAAATTTGCCCACCTGGGGAATAAGACGCCAAACTGCCTCCGAGGTTTTCCTTACGTATTGCGCGGCTCTCTGAACATTCCCCACGCAGGCCCCACCCACCGATTCCCACTCGGCCCATAGACTTTGCAAAAGCAATGAGTCGTAAGAAAATAAATCTTCTAAGCGCTCGGGAGGTTCGGCAAATATGAGACCTCCGTGGAAGCTGCTGGTGTCGTGTCGACAGTTTTTAAAAATGCTCTTTTGTGGTGTCTGACGGAGATGCTCTTGGGGCAATTCTCACATGACCGCGTGGAAAAATTGCCAAAAGGCCTCCAGTGTTACCAAAGAACTAAACTGGTTTTACTGTGGTTATTATAGTTTGTTTGTTTTAGACTTTTCTTACTGTGTCGCTTGGCTTTACTTTAATTTTTGTTACCATTTGTATTGTAGTAATGGTGTTTGGTTTCTTTATTTGTTGTTGCTTGTAGTGTGTAGTTGTACAGCACTGTTTTTTAGTAAAGTGTTATATAAATAAAACTACTATCATTAGATTACTACTATTAAAACTGTACCAAGTCTCTGCAAGGTGGTGCAGTTGGTAGCACTGCTGCCTCACAGCTAGAAGGTCGCCAGTTCGCATCCCGGTGAGGACACCCGGGATCTTTCTGTGTGGAGTTTGCATGTTCTCCACGTGCAGCGTGGGTTCTCTCTGGGTTCTCCGGCTTCCTCCCACACAGTCCAAACACATGTTGAGGTTAATTGGTGATTCTAAATTGTCTGTAGGTGTGAATGTGAGTGTGCTTGGTTGTTTGTCTCTAAGTGTAGCCCTGTGATAGACTGGTGACCTGTCCAGGTGAACCTGCCTTCACCCTAAGTCAGCTGGGATAGACTCCAGCCCCCCATGACCCTAGTGAGGATTAGGAGGTGTATAGATAATGGATGGATGGATGGATGGATGGATGTACCAAGTCTTACAAGCTCAGAAACCTTCCTTCATCATGCAGTGACCAAAAACCCCGATAACTCACTCACATACAAACGTGAATAAGTGCATCAGAGCACTTTTAAGCTTCGTCAACTAGAAATAACTGTTTGCCAACTATTTCACAAGTGATGAGGTAGAGGGAGATAGATGTGAGGATGTGGCTGCAAAATAAATAAATTTTAAAAAAGCATTTTAAAATACATTAAAGCATAATAATAAATAATATTTTGTCATGAATAAAACGGCCCCTGTGCGTCCCCATTAATCAGTGTGAAGTTTACTTTACTGGTCACAGCGGAGCTGTTTTAGCTGTTTTCTGTACTTTTAGGCGGTTTAATGCTCTTTTATGAGCTAATCATATATTTTGCGTGTAAAATCTTAATATGTAAAGTAAGTACAAACTAAAGCTGTCAAATAAAAGCGCAATATGTCGTTGTGAATTGTTGTAAAGGTTTAAAGCTGGCCAAATTGGAAATACACGAGTCCACATTGAGGGCGTGATGCCGCACTTCACCTCAACTCTGCACTGCAGCTCAACGTTTTATTATCCAGCGAGGATTTATTTTAAACTTATCTTAATTAGCCAACTAGCTACACCTGATAAAATCTGCCAGCGACGAAATACAGCCGCCGCGGCTCGAGAGAAGAAAGCAGCGATTGTCTGCTTCTTCTTCAAATCAAGGACCCATTGTTTCAGAGACGATGAAGACTTGCGAGCGGTAAATCTGCCACATGGATCACCGTGAACTGCACATGTGCCGTGAGAGTGGGCAGTCAATTATGATCGTGATGGATCTGCTTTATATTCTCGCTGCTTAAAACTCTGGTTCCTGCTGTTTCGTGTAATGTAATGCCGCTATAAATAGTGTTGAAGTCAGTTCTCTTTCTCCTTTGTTTTCTCCAGGTCAGCCTCCCAAATGACTCCAGCTGTGTTGAAGAGATTTTGCGGGTACGTTGCCTGGGTACACACACACACACACACACACACACACACACACACTCAGTGGGTAATTACACTGATTATCAGCTGTTTTCTGTTTGCTCACAAAGACCTTGGTCCCTCTCCAGAGAGTCTGATTTTAGGAAGAAAGGACAGGGGAGAGAGAATGAGAACCAGAGGAGGCAGCGGGAGAGAACAGATCTGTTGGCTCAGGTCAATGATTATACAAGTTTTTGTTTTTGTTGGATGACATCATGCAGAAATCTTTTCCACAGCTCTCTCTTGCCCTCCTCCTCCTCTTCTTCTTCTTCTTCTTCTACTGTCTGCATGTCATCAAAATCACATCAAGCGACACGTTTTTTCCACAGTCTCCCCTCTCCTGTCTCCCCGGGTTGCTGCTCCTTCAGACTGATGTCAAAACACGACCGTTTTTCCCACTAATCTCCCCCTCGCCGGTCAGGAGATTTGCAGCCATAAAGACAAGCACCTTCTGTGACTTGCTTTATGTCGAGCCGCTCATTCACGGCGCTATCTCCCTCCTGTCTTCCTCTCCTCATCCCTCCCTGCCCTCTGTCATTCACCTCTCTCTCCCTTTCACAAATCAATATGCTGGTCAACAGGCTGTGTGACAGATAGTCTGCTGTGAGCTGCATGAAAAGCCTTTGTCAATAATATTGGTGCACTATTGAATTCAGTCTGTGGTTTTTAGCTGTGTCAAGTGGAAAGATCAAGGAGTTCAAAATGTGAGGTGAGGTGAATCGGAGCGGAGGCCCGCGGTTCATTTTTCTCTTTCTGTGACGGCGCCGCTACAAGCCGGTTGTCACAGAAACATTGTTGTTTCGGATGTTTTTCACAATTCAAGGTAACGGTGTGTATCGTCAGATAATGCGCGCACAAGTAAAGTCGAACCTTTTAAAGACTGTATTAAATTTTTAGCTCTTGAACTATTTGACCCATCTCATAATTCAGTAGACGTATCTTCCCTTCAGTTCTCCTCAAGGTAAATGTATTCATGCTCATGTTTTCGCTTGTGATTTGTGACAAACCAGCTAAAAACCAGCAAGTTTCCCTCAAAATCCTGATTTGAAAATGTGGTTTAGTGCCACAGGAAGGTACGAGGTGTGTCAGAAAAGTTTCAGGACTGGTGTCACATAAGATATATCTCATCAAATCCAAACTACAAGTTTTCCTCTTCCAAGTAATCCCCCTGGAGTCACTTCCCCAGTCTTCTCTTCATGCCGCCATGCACTCCTGTAAAGATTCTTCAGGGATCCTCCTCAGCTTCATCGTCATCTTGATGTCGTCCACATCTTCAAAACGGGTCCCCTTGATGACCCCCTTGAGCCTGGGGAAGGGGAACAAATCCCACAGAGCCAGGTGGGGTGAGTAGGGAGGTTGCTCCAGCACGGTGATGTTCTTCTCAGCCAGGAACTGTCAGAGGATCTCTTTGTAGACGTGCCAGTTTATCATGTGGCCCTGTGGCAAGAACTCACAGTGGACGATGCCCCTCACATCGAAGAATGCGATCAACATGACTTTGGACTTAACTGTTGTGCTTTCTTTGGCTTTGGTGACGTCGGACGTTTGGTCTCCGTGTCGTACCCAAAGATCCATGACTCATCACCGGTGATGACTCTCTCTAGCAAGTTCGGTTCTGGTTCGGTTTCAAGACACTCGAGGATGTCCTGACACACCTGCATGCGTCGATCCTTCTGGTCATCGCTCAGCAGTTTTGGCACCATCTTTCCGCGGACCTTCCTCATGCCCAAATCTTCAGTGATAATCTTCCAGGCGTTGTCCTGGTTCATGCCCAGCTCATTTGCGATCAATCGAACAGTCAACCGTCGATCCCCACGCACCATCTGCCTGACGCGCTCAACGTTGGCCTCAGTCCTGCTCATTGAAGACCTTCCTCTCATGGGGTCATCTTCCACATCCTCCCGTCCCTCTTTAAACCTCTTGTACCGCTCAAAAACACATGAGCATGACATCGTCTCATCTCCGTACGCTTGTTGCAGCAATCCCACTGAGTTTTTCCCAACCAGACCAGAAGCTTCATGTTTGTTCGTTGCTCTGTGCTCATTGCTTGATGACACGTATATAAAAGCATGTGGGAGAAAGTTCAAAGGCTGCAGAGAGCTGAGATCACAGTTATATACTCCAGGGCGATTACTTTGAAGGGGAAAACTGGTAGTTTGTAGTTTGGGTTTGAAATCTATCTTTTGTGACGCCACTCCTGGAACTTTTCTGACACACCTCGTAGAACAAGACTTTTCACCAAGGAGACTGGGTTTGGTTATGCTTAGGCACCAAAGCTATGTGGTTAGGCTTTGGAAAATATCATGGTTTGGCTTCAAATATGAGCCTTTCACGGCATCTTTGAAGCCTTTTCTTCTTTTTTGGGCGACTACCAGGGTGACGAGTCCAACCAATGGTACGGTGACACCAACCCAATGTGAAGTCACTCTGGTTAACTGAGTAGGAGTTTGTCAAAGTACAAGTGGCTGCAAATGGCAAAAAAATATGACAGAGTAAATTCACATTGGCCAACTTCCTTCAGGGTTTGGCTCCATGACGCATGTGACTACCAGATTTGGTACACCCAAGTAATGTAGGAGCTGCAACTTTTGTGCTAAAACATGCAGCATTTGCTTTAAACGACAGCAACAGTGATGGTTCAGTAGCTCCTACTTAAGCCTGGTGTTCTGTACACAATAAATGAATGACAGTAAATATGAATATATGAGCTTGAATACCTCCCAAAACTACCTGATTAGAGCTTTGTTTTCTGACACTTCAAAGGCTGGATTTCAGGCTGGAACGTCTCTATGTGGAATCTGTACGTCCAGTAGTACAGTGAAGCAATAAAGTAAACGCTAAAGACGTGTTGATTTGAAACATATTTGTGGTGCACAAACTGGCTTAAAATACATTTCCCTCCAAACCTAATTGGGAATGTGGTTTAGCTGTGTGGGAAAGCAATTTTTGGGGGGCTGGTTGCAGACGCCCACCAGACAGTCAGATATGAGTGTTGTGTAAACGTCTTTCCTCTGATGTCTGATAACGATTCTGATTATAAGTAATAAATCAGACTCATGACTGGTGTTTGGAACCAACGTACATCTGCAGTAACACTGAAATCTTGGTGTCAAAACACAAACTCCTTCACTTGATTTTGTTTAAATGCATCAGTTTATTTGTGGTTTACATGCATTTCCTTAAAAATAGATGGTAAACAATCTAGTTTTTAGAAAGATTTGGAAAAAGGCTTAATATTGGATCTGATAATTGGTCTGGTTGATCATTGGTCTGCCCCTAGTGGTAAATGTCAAACTTATTTTTATTTTTTTGTGTAATAACTCATTGGTGGTGCTTTATTTTACTGGTAAAACACTTGCAAATGTAAGATGCAAGTAAAAAGCACCGTTAACATGCATTTCATATCTATTATCAGTTTTAAAATAGTAAAAAAAAAAAAACAACTATTCATACAAATGTGAATGTCACGTTGAGACATGAGCTCTGACTGCTTGTTGTATAAATAACTAGAGAACACAGAGACAGATATTCCTCTCACACGCTCAGTGGACATTCGGGAGATAAATGTGTGTTTTGTGTGTTTGTGTTAAGGTGTAATAGATGTTGGATAATGGATTATATGACTAACAGATAATAACTGGACAAGCACAGCGACAGGATGTGTGTTAATGTGACACACTGAGTTATTCCCATACAGCGGCTGTAGTATCACATTTATAGACAAACACACACACACACACATTCAGGAGTAATCAGGCGTCCCGTCTGTCAGAGCACAGGAACTCTTCTAGGACGGACATAATGATGTCAGAGAGCAGTTGCTTAGCAACACACCATATGTCGTCAGGGCAAGTGCATTACGATTGTAGAGCGAAGACGCACGCAGAGACGCACACTCGAGCATCTCCAGTAATGTTGAGCTCACTTATGCACACAACCTGGCACACACACACGCACACACACACACACACAACCTGGCACACACACACACACACACACACACGTCCTCACACAGACGAAAACATGCGTCATCTGCTGAATATGAGTCATCCTTTCCAGAGGGGGTGCAGACATGCATGATGGGAAATTCAGCCCTCTTGACCCAGTGACCTGCTGTAGCTGAGTGACTCTACATGTGTGTGTTAAACACAGTAAAATACTAACAACCGGTGCTGACGTTTGTTGGAGTTTTGTTGCAGAAAAATAGGTTATTAGACAAAACTAAGAATGCAGACACTGAGAGCATCAGCGTCTGTGTGCGTGACAGGGACAGAACGAAAGATAGAGACTGATTATTTCTTTACACCAAAAAAAATTAAACTACCAGGTAATTTTTCACATAAACACTTTGTTTTGTGTGCAGATTTTCCAACATGTGCACTTCATTTCCACTGTTTGTGAGAAAGAGAAACAGCCAATACCTAAGAGATTACCAAGCAGCACACACACACACACACACACACACACACACATGCTTATCTTGTTAACTAATTGAAGCTTCTACATACTGAGAGTGAAATTCAACTGGGAAGAGAGTGTGATTAGAATAATTGAAAGGGGAAGCTGCTGCTGCTGCGCTGCTTAGTTGTAATGCAGCTGACTGGAGTCAGCTTTTATTTTGGTAATTCAACAGCTCTGCACTTAATTCACTCTCAGTACACTGATCCCTAGTGTGCCACCAACTCCCCATGCACCTCTCAGTTTATACTATGAGTTGTATTAAAGTCGGCTCTGATGGGGATGGTGCCTTGATTGAATGCTGACTCCACTCCTCTGCACCAAACATGTTGCGTAAGCAGTCCCTTTGCTCAAATTTGCTCAACTTTAGTCATCATTGTTATTCACCAGGTACACACAACACAACACAAACCCCTGTTTACTGAGTTAGATCCTTTATTTAGCTGGTTAAAACCTAATATCTACAATAATGTGATAAAAATGTATGTTTGTGTGTTCAGGAGATGACCCATTCCTGGCCTCCGCCGCTCACAGCCATTCACACTCCTGGGAAAGCTGATCAGACCAAGTTTCCCATCCCGAACAAGGTGAGTCCGCTCTTAAAAGTGCATGTTCATTTTGGATTACTTTTTATTTGTGTATAAGTCAGTGAGTGATGGGAAAGGATGTGGAAAAACCTTCACTGAAACTCATTTGCTGGTGGCTCACAATCAAACTAACTGCAGCCTGTCACTGAAAGTCTTCAGTCTGCTCATTAGATGTGAATCAGTAATTCACTGCTGTCATACAGTCAGATTACTGTTGCCTCAGTCTGCACAGGGCCACAAATGACATCCAATGAAATAACAATGTTAAGTAGCTCATGTTTAATTCACCTCCTCGCTGGGTGTCCACAGTCCTGACTCTGTCGCTGGTGATCTTCACATAATGCATCTTTGGGCTGCTCTGTTCAACAAAGAACTGCTTCTCAACGTCACAAATTATAGCTGCTGTGCTGTAAATGGCTTTATTAATGGCTAAATAATAAACGAATGTTTCATAGATGAGCAAAGAGTCATTAGTCAGAAATTGTTTTGGTTTCCAGATTTTTAATATCACCTTTGGCTAGTGCACATTTTCCAACAGGGCTTTTAATTAACCTTTTTAGTTAATTAGGTGCTGTTGATCATTCCAAAGTCCATTTATTTATACCGTCTTTACAATAACCTTCATCATTTATTTTATGAACGTTTACCTTTGACTGCAGATTCAAAAACTGTGTGTCATGAACTTATCGCAGTTTACTTACTGACTTGTGCTCTAAGCCTGTTGGTAATTAAGTGACTTATTACAAGTGACTTATTAGTGTTTATAACTGCAGACTTAGGCCACATCTACACATAGCCAGGTAGTTACAAAAACTGATCTACATTTTCTAAAATAACGTAGTTCGCACCAGACCATTTTCACAAAAATCTTTGTTTACACAAACTCGCATAAACACGTTATGAGCATGCCAGACCTATAGGGGGCAGTGTAACGAGAAGCATAATGCCATGCTAGCCAATCAGAATCCTGGAAACAATACAACAATGAATGGCACAAATTACTTCCTGTTACTTCAACGATAGTGGCGCGAGGGTTGATTGTTTGGCCTGACAGAGAAGTGGAGCTTCTCCTAACTGTGGTGTTAAGAGGACAAAACAAGTAAAATACTTGAAAATATTGACTTTCTATCACAGTAGAAGTGAAATTTAGCAATTTCTCTGAGGTCTTATATCGATGGGATTAATAAAGTTTTATTCTAATTCTAATTCTAATTCTAATTCAGTAGCCAAACTGTAAACATGAGTCACACACATATGACGCTGATGACGCTACTGTGACGTCAAACTCCGTCTCCTACGGTCTACATGCAAACGTAAAGAGGGGGTTTTTTGAAATCTCCACTGTGGCCGGACTTTTCAGATATGATCATTTTCGGTGACTTGTAGCTTCATTTACAGGTAAACCAAAGGCCCAAATGCGTTGAAATATCACAGTTTTTGCTACATTTAAACAGGACCTAAAGGTCTTATTGGAAATTGGTAACTTTGATGAATGATGTTCATCTTTGTTTATGACTTAGCTATCAAGTGCCAATCATCAAACAACCAATTTCTAAAATATGAGTTCATCCTTTTATCAAATAGCATTTTTTAAACTATTTTTATATAATTAAAAAGAACCAGCTTCTATTTTTAAAGGCCTACAAAGGCTCCAAAAAGCAGCACAGTCACATTAATCTTCTCAACTCGTCTTTTTCTGGGTGAATATTCACAAGGAACTACTTTTTAATCTTGCAAGATCTGGATCGCAAAAGTACAAGATGTACAAGTGACTAGTTGTACGAGGCTTTAAACGCTTCCAAACTTGCCTGAATCACAAGGTTTAAAAAATGACTTAAGCATCAAAATGATTTAGTGATAGTTGTTCTCATTATAGTAATCCAGGCTAACAGCGTGCTAACTGCTCGGCACCTGTCAATTAACAAGCATGTTTGCGGTAATGGGACAAGATGTTCACATGCTGTGTTCAAAAGGCCACTTTTTCTTCTTTTCTCTTTTAAGAGTTTATGTTCTGAGACAGGAGTTTGATAAATGGTGGGTTGCAACGCCGCAAATTAGCTCCAGCAGCATCCTCTGTTTTGGACCCTTCAGCTCTGTGTTCTCCCAGAGGTCAACTCTGTCAACACAGATTGCCCAACCTTGTCTCCCAAAAATTACATTCCTACACAGCAACGACATCGTAGGAAAGGCGTCTGGTTTAAAACAGCCAGGAGAGCAGGGTGTGCATCCCATGGAGGACCGCTATTCTTCATCAAGTGCTGTTTTCATTCATTGTTTTCCTTTTGAGTTGAGGCACCCAGACTGGTTAGTGGTTAGATTTAACACAATACCACACCCTCACAACATAACTACACGTTAGAAAATTGCTTAAGTTTAGGCATCAAAACGTCTCGGTTAGGTTTAGGAAAACACAGGGTTGATTTATTTGGTTAAAATACGACTTTGTCCCAACGTGGTGGTGAGTCACACCCAGACACACCTCGCTGGCTGAAAGGAGAAAGCAAGAAAATAAGTGGGAAATGTATTCAAACAAATTTGAGAATGCAGTTTACCTGTTGAGGAAGCTGTTGTTTGGGAGGCAGCGTTGGCTTGCTACTGGTCAAATTCATGCTTCAGAGAAAACTAAATTGTTTAGCTATTCTGGTAGATTAATGGTAGCAACTGGACTTGCTTGAGTTCGTTCCACCTCTCATCCAAGAGGCTTCATCAGTTCTGACTGACTAGTTGGGAGTTCCAGATACTTCTATCCTTAAGGAGCCATTGATAAGGATCATCGGAGCCATTTCTAAGTATCTGGAACTCCCAACTAGTCAGTCAGAACTGATGAAGCCTCTTGGATGAGAGGTGGAACGTCTTCAAGGAACTCAAGCAGGTCCAGTTGCTACGATTAATCTACCAGAATAACCACGACCTGGATGACTGAGAACCTTCACAGATAAATCGTGTAGCTCTACATAACTCCACCAGCTGTGGCATTTCCACTGGAATGACTTGTTTACACATTAAATTTTAGCTATTTTAAATCGTTGGCGCGACCAAGCCAACAGTAGCAGGTGTGTCTTAGTCGAAACTACGGTGGCCCAGAAGTGTCACAACAAAACAAAAGCCACAACACAACCAAATTAACCACAACACTACAAAATTAGCCACTACACTACAAAATTAACCACAACACTACAAAATTAACCACAACACTACAAAATTAGCCGCAACACGACACAACGGCTGCAACGGAAGTGTCCGCATTAACAAGTCAAACAAGCAATGACTCTTTATTTGTAAATCAAAGTTAACAACCGCTTTAAGAGCGCATACCGAGATGAATGGACACTATTTGCCATCAGTATTTTACTTACTTTCGAGTTGTTTCCAACAATCTCCGGCTTCCGGGTTAAAAAAAACAACTTCCGTTTCGGCCGTTGTGTTGTGTTACGGCTTATTTTGTAGTGTTGTGGTTAATTGTGTTGTGTCGTGGCTTTTGTTTTGTTGTGACACTTCTGGGCCACCGTACGAAACCAACGTTTGACTCCTCCAGTCGTCACTAAACGACGTTGTTGGATCTACTTCAAGGTCGTCATTACTTTAATCACGTGGTGTTTGGCTGCCGTGGCATGCAAAATATTTCCTGTTGGTAAAAACCTGAAAAATAAGTGGAGTGTTTAACATTAGCGGAGATAACAGCCGCGTGTTAACATTTAAAGAGAAGAATGTCACTTCCAGAACCTTCAAGGAAGTTGCATTGCATTATCACCCAAACTGTTTGTGTGAATGAGAAGTTCAGAAACAACGAAAAGCAGAAACTGAAGAATTCAGAAGGTACATATCAGAAGTTTCACCTGCTACCACAAAACAAGAAAGAAAGAAAGGTTTTATAACAACTCGTAACGTAAATAGTGGGAATAATTGTCACATTAAAACCGTCAGAAATGTTATATTCAGCGTTTATCCCACGAGTGGCGATAATCCTCTGACTGAAACAGCAGGTGATTTTTCTCCCGCTGCCGTGTGCTTTTATGAATTACTTTTAATATGCAAAACGCCTGATTGGTGGTGATGTCGGAAGAAACGGCGACGTAAACACGGAGGCAGTAAATCTGACCCAGTAGTTAATGATTTAGGGAGAAGTGTTGTAGCGCTTTCAAGCCCCCAGCGTCGCACTAATCCTGCCAGTGAGTTTTAAGAATGAGGTGGAGCTCCGACGCGGGGAGATGAGAAGATCTGAATTCTGTGTAATGGCATCCTTGTACGGCTGTGAAATCAATAATGACATCTGTTGGTTTATTCATTCAACTCGTCTCCCTCTGGCTTTCTCTCCCTCTCTCTAGGAGTCGCAGCATGTGACCTCGGGCTACAACACCCAGAGTAAGTTTCCCAGCGTAAACACTCACATGCAAGCTCCACGATAATTAACGCTGCCGAGGCCGTAAAGGCAAAAAAAAAAAACCACCCAGAAGAAATGAGAGAAAAGCAGCTGATGTTCAAATGAATTCATAGCCACGGGACGAGGGTGGTCTGAAAACCTTTTGCTTTTATCTTTCTGTGCTCATCTGAACAAGTAATCAAACAAACATGATTAAGTGGAGAGTGAAGCCCAGACTGTTTATCAGGTGCTTCAAGTTGGAAATATGGATAAAGTGTTCTTATGTAGGATGTGTAATTTAAGAATAATAATAAACGTCGTTATGAAGTAGCTGCTTTTGTTGAGAATATAATCATAAACAGTTTAAAGACAGAACAATCCCATTTAGCGCACAGAGATGTTTTTGTGCAGGTGGAAAAAAAGTATTTAGAATGAATGAAACGTGTTAATGGCTTCGCTTCCAGTCCGCCTCACTAATTCACGTATTTAAACCTGATCACAATGCAGGCAAATTTAAGATAATGAGAACACTAATTATTACCAGGTGTTAATGCAAAGGCCCATTGATCAGATCTAGATCATTATCTACATAATGTATCGAGATACATATCACACGTCGGTACCAGTTACTCTTGAAAATACTGAAGGTAGAAGAAGTGATTGTGTAAGTATTCACCACCTTTAAGGCTGTGTTTAATAGAAACACCTTTAACTGTAATCACAGCATTGATCCTGTGTTGTATGTACATATGAACACTCCAGTTTTACCCCATTGTTCTGTTTAAAGCTGCTCAAGCTTTGTCAGGTTACACTGGGATCATGAAAGAACATAGACTGTATAAAAGATGGACGTAGCAACCGGCCCTGGAAAATGAAGCCAACCCGGAAGTGTCAAAAACCTGCAATATCACTACGTCCGCTAGCTGCTGGCTCCAAAAAGCCCTGGCTCCCATAGAAATGAATTGGAAAAGAAGTGATCACAGATCATGAAATACTGCATTCCTACAGCTCAGGATTTTTTTCTTATTAGTTTTCATGGTCAAGTCCAGAGATCAGGTGGCCAATCTGAAAATAAATCAATACTGAATTTTTGAAAAATCGTCAACATTTTGCGGGGCAAGGGGCGTGGCTGGCTTGATTGACAGTCGGCAGCGACCATTCAGATGAAGCGAGCAGAAGGCGGTAAATGTGGGCGGGCTGAGAGGGCCCGCCTCTCAATCCGTCTGACCAATCGCTGCTCCTGTGGCTCCACCCCCCTCCGACGATTTTTGCGTCACTGGCTCCAAAAATCCAAGATGTCAACCAGGAAGTAGCAAAACCCTGGCTTCATTTTCTCAGTGCAGAAACCAACGGGTGACGTCACGGTAGCTACGTCCATCTTTTATACAGTCTATGTGAAAGAACAGCCTTTTTCAAGACCAGCCACAAACTCCTAACTGGATTGAGGTCTGGGCTCTGACTCGGCCACTCCAAATTATTCACCTTGTTGTCTTTGTCTTGCTGGAAAACAAATCTTCTCCCAAGTTGCGCTTCTCTTGCAGACTGCATCAGGTTGTCCGCCAGGATTTCCCTACCCTCCAAGGCCTGCTGCTCAAAAGCATCCCTACATCATGATGCTGCCACCACCATGCTTCACAATGGGGATGGTGTGTTGGTGATAAGGTGCTATGTTTGGTGCCCAACATAGTGTCTAGTTTTATGGCCAAAAAGCTTAGAACCTCCTTTCGGTTGACGTCAAAGTCTCCTACATGTCGTCTGGCGAACTCTACTGGAGCTCTGATATGAGCTTATTTCAACAGTGGCTTTCTCTTTTCCACTCTCCCATTAAGCTTCGACTGGTGAAGAACAAGCAACATTTGCTGTATGAACAGTCTCTTCTATCTTGTAACTCCTGTCTTGGTGGCCTCCATCACTAGTTTCTTGCACACTCACTCACTTTATGAGAAAAGCTTGTTTTGAGGTAGATTGTGCCAAATTCTTTCCATTTCTTCCTGATGGATTTTGCTGCACTCTGGGGGATATTCACTGACTTTTTTCTGTATTCATCCCCCTGACTCATGTGTTTCAGTAACCTTTTCACAGAGTTGCTTAGAGTGTTCTTTTGTCTTTAGTGTGTAGTTATATGCAGTAGCACTGATTTGGACCTTCCAGATACAGGTGTCTTTATAGTACAGTCACTGAGACACAATTATTGCACTAATTGTGTGACACTGAGCACCAACTGGCTGCACCTAAAGGGACTGAAAGCTTATGCAATCACTTATTTTAGAATATATATAATAATTAATTGACATAGAATTTACACTTTGACACGAAAGAGTCTTTTTTTTATAAATTCGTCTCCAAAAGAAGCCAAATAAAACTGATTCAATGTTGAAAAGCAATAAAAGGAGGAAACTTCCAGGAGAGGTGAACACTTTTTACAGGCACTGTATATCTGCCAATACTACATGTGGTACATTGCAGTGGTTCTGACTCCCAGGGTCGGTATCAGATCATCAGCGGCTCTTCCGAAGCCGCTGCTCTTTGTTAAACCCAGCTTGTAGAGTTTTGAGATGTTTGCGGTGTATATAAAGCTGAAATATTTCCCCACTGGCAGGTTTTTCTCTCAGGTATGAAAAGAAGACACACGACTGACTGGAATATAAAACACAGCCAAAGGGTTCTGTTCTAAAAGTCTGTTTATCCATTAAGAGAATGAATCATCTCCTCAACTTTTCTGACAGTGTGTTTCAGTTTGGATTTTATTGCAAAATTACATTTACATGCTGTTTTATTTTTTTACCCAAACCCCTGTTACCCAAGCAAAGGGAAAAACACACACACACACTAATTAAATAACACTGGAGCAGAGTGTCACATTTTCCAATGTGACAATACTACAAGACTACAGTGTGAGTTTGGCTTCTTGTCAAGCACTAATCAACACACACAGACACACGGACCGCAGCACATGCAAAGCAGTGATTGAATGTCCTCTGGTTGTGTTGCAGAGCGATGCACTGTATCAGCTAACAAGCCTGCCGCTAAACCACCGACAGCACCGCAGAAGTCGTGAGTATTTCTCTTTTCTCTCCCCGACACGCACACAAACGCTTACAAACACACGTACAAAGTGAGAATTTCTGACCCGCTGCTGCTGCTGCGTTCGCCTCAAGGTAAAATTAAACTTGACTCTTGGATGAAATTCACTGGTGGTAGGAGGGAAGAGAGAGAGAGAGAGAAAAAAAAAAGATTGTGTGGATCAGAGCGGGAAAGTGCAGCTACATTAATTTAACGTGAGCCAGGAGCATATTGCAACATCTCTGGCTGCGGCCCACTTCCACATCACTCACACGGAGCCGTGCAGAAATCTTGGCTTGTGAATCATGACCCTGACTTATCTTGTGTGCGAGACCACAGCAAGTTTAATGATTCTGTTTTAGAAATTGTCAACACCTTGAGCAGGAATTGTACCGGAACCGGGTGCAGCAGGACTTGGGCTTTTGCAAACAATCTCAAACACAAGCGCAAAAGTGAAATGAAGGATTAAACAGACTGCGTTTCTGTTGTCATGTCAGTAGTGCAACTGACTGACCAGCTTGCTGCCTGTAACCAAACCCAGCATGTCAGTAGTTAACTGCATTTTAAGGGCATTCAGGTTTAAGTTATGCAAAGAAGAAGAAAAAAATAAATGAAAGAGGCATAACTCACTGCGTGGGAGCTGCTCCTGGATGCTGCTATATGAGATTAAAGGCTAACATTAGCTGTGTATCTGTTCTTTGCTTGATTTAGATTTAGGGATATTTACATTTCAGAAACCCAGTTAAACCCTGAACTCATCTCTAAGATAGCAATATGTTTGCCAGATATACTGGCTAGTCCTTATCCTAAAAGCTCTTTTTTTCTAGTCATGTTAAAAGGTAAAAACTTGTGAAAATGCCAAAGAACATGTAAGCTCAGTGCTGACATTTTTGTTTTTGTTTGCTTACAACTAACTCTGCAATACAAGAACAGTTATATTGTTCTAAATTAATCCTCAACTGGTCAGGGTGTTGATTTCTTTTGCTTTGAGCTTGTAGTTATAGACTGTATGTAGTAGACTGAACATAGCCTGTGGGTCTGAAAAGTGAAACCAATGTGGAAGTGCCTTAAACCTGCATTTCTTCTGACAGCCAGCAGGGGGCGAATCCTCTGGCTGCAAATAGAGTTCAGATTGTTTTGAAGTCTATGAGAAAAATGACCCTACTTCTCCCTTGATTTGTGACCTCAGTAAACATATTCCTAATAATTTTCTGGTCTCAATTGTTAGTTTTAAGGTTTAATGTTCATCCACTTGTTAAGACAAAGATGGCGATGGCCAAATTCCAAACTTGAGACATCAACAAATCAACACAGTGGTGGCTACGTATGCATCTTATATGATAGTGTTTGGTTAGAGGTAACGGTTATGTAAAAAAAACCTTACTCTCCGGTACAATCTCAGATTATAGGCTAACATTAGCAACTCTGTTCTGCTCTTGATTTGTTGAACTTTAAATATCAGCGAAATCATCCAAAACTCACATCCAGTCTAGCAGTATGTTTGCCAAGCATAGTGGATAGTCTTTGTCCTAAATACCTTTACGCTAGGAATGCTAAACATACTGAATAATTTGGAAATTAAAACAAATATGTAAGCTGCACAGGCAAAAATGGTATCTTACATTTTCCTTTTTTATATGTGTAATTTTAGAGCTAACTAGTTTTACTCTACAAATCAAGAACAACAATAATTCTACATCTTCTAGCTGAATCCTCAACTGGTCAAAGTGGTGTTTTATTTTTTGTTTTTTTGTTAATGGCTGCTTTAGCTTCACGTGATTTTGACTACAGTTCTACCTTTAGCTATTATGCCAGCTAGCCATTTAGCTAATTAGCCAGCTAGCTACAGCTAATGTCATTTCAGCTTGAAAAAGTGATGCTCCCCAACTAAAATTGACAATTCTTCTTTAGTCTACCTTTGTCTGAGATTTAAAATGATTGTTGCTATAATATCAATTTTGACGGTAAATGGCCGCATCACTGTCTGTAGCTTAGCAGGCATAGCAATGATAAATAGTAAGAGGGATAGCAACGGTTAGCAAACAGCAATTTTTTCAGATAATTAAATCGCTAAGGGCTTGAAACGGAAAATATAAACCCAAACAAAAGACGTGCTTCTGTTTGCTGTATCAATACTGACTAATACGAATCCAGAATTGTGACTTTTAATATCACCTTGGCAAAGCATTGGCAGGAAAAGCAACTATTGATTCCTCCTCTTGTTTAATTTCTTTCTTTATCTCCAACAGCTCCTGCGTGTTAAAACATCTAATGAGGGTTTTCAAGCGCTAAGTTCAATTCTTTATTTATACATTTTATCAATAAGCCAATTAAAAAAAGGAGGAAGGGAACGCGTGGTGAGCCCAGTGTCCGAAAGTAGGCGTTTAAAAATGAAAAGCGGCTCGATGCCAACGGATGATGCAAAAATCCTGCAAGTTCAGAAAAAGTCAGGACAGTCTTTGGAGTAATTCAGCCGGATGGTTTGATTAAAGTTCTATGTTGGCGTGTAAAATCTAATTTCCTCCACTCTGGGTATGTAACTAAATAGTTAATTATATCTCTATTAGGATAGTGTCTGCTGGAGCTGTTGTGGTTTTTGTGGCTTGTTACACGATTTCGCTTGTGAAGCTGATAAGCCTGTTTCTGTTGATTACTAATGTATGCCCCGAGGTGTAATTTTTTTCCCCCCATCTTGTAGGGCTATTCAAACATAAATGCTGCTTTGTTTATTAGGGTGAAATAATTGTTATTGGTTAAAAACAATGCCTTGTTTACTGCAGCCATTAGGCTACTCTCTGTTTTTATTGTGATGCTCAAAAGCATAAAATGTTCTCGATAATGAATAGGCCTACTTCATCTTATTCAAGAGTAATTGAGCTGTTTAGGCTAATTGCTATATTCTTTGCTGAATATTTACAATGGCTGGCATTACACAAAACTCATCCAACAGTAATTCCTCTCAGACAGGCTCTGCACCTTAATGCAACACAAATAAAACCCGTGCTGTTTATTTTTTCTTTCATTAGAACAATGAGTAAAGAGCGTACTGTATCCAGTCCAATCGCATGAAGCTCAGACATCTGCATGTATGTAGCAGAGCGGAAGGAGTGAGTAAAACTCTCCCAGAGTGAAGCCAGCTTTTACGTGCTGTTGGCTCAGAAACCCAGAGAACTTCTGGGCCGTGCTTTTATTAACACAAAGGGCTTTAACTTACGTAGTGCTGGATTTGGTTCCCATGTTAGTCCAGCTGCTAAAGCAATATGTGGAGACAGGGCTCTGTGCTGATGGAGAAAGAGACTGACAATATCAGGGTTATGGGTTCAGTTCCCTGTGTTGTTAAACCTGATTGCTGTTAAAAGGGTCTCTGGGTCACCGTTTTCTAACACAACTGTTAGACTTGATCATTATTTTGTTGGACTACAGCTACACTTTTCTTACCGTAGCTACCTTCTGCCACTTCTCCACCTTCAGTGTTGGTCAAAAGGTTGTCAGAGGATGCAAGAACTTGGTGGCTGAGTGTTATTTTGTTGTCGTTAATTGGCCATTGCCTATTTAAAGCATCTAATTTTCACTCCTCTTCTCACTCTTTTGGTGTCCACCAACTCCTGAGACACATGTTGGGCTCTCTA